CTTAAGAAGCCCTCCCTGGACCCAGATGTATTGGCCAACTATCGCCCGGTCTCCAACCTTCGCTTTGTGGCGAAGGTTGTTGAGAGTGTGGTTGCGCAGCAGTTCCCTTGACACCTGGAGGAAACAGTCTATCTGGACCCACTCCAGTCGGGCTTCAGGCCGGGATACAGCACGGAAACGGCATTGGTCACGTTGGTAAATGATCTCTGGAGGGCCCGGGACAGGGGTTATTCCTCTGTCCTTGTTCTTTTGGACCTCTCAGCGGCTTTTGACACCGTGGACCACGGTATCATGCTGCGACGGTTGGGTGGGTTGGGAGTGGGGGGCACTGTTATGCGGTGGTTCTCCTCCTTCCTCACCGACCGTACGCAGTCTGTATTGGCAGGGGGACAGAGGTCGACCCCAAAACTCCTAACTTGTGGGGTCCCACAAGGGTCGGTCCTCTCTCTGCTTCTGTTCAATATTTATGTGAAGCCGCTGGGAGAGATCATCCGTGGCTTTGGGGTGGATTTCCATCAGTACGCTGATGATACTCAGCTGTACATCTCCACCCCGGGCCACCCCAACGATGCCCTTGACGTGATGACCCGTTGCCTGGAGGCCGTAAGGGTCGGGATGGGGAGGAACAGACTCAGGCTCAACCCTTCCAAGACCGAGTGGCTGTGGCTGCCGGCGCCGCGGCATAGTCAGCTGACTCCATCGCTGACTATAGGGGGCGAAATTCTGGCTCCCTCGGAGAGGGTGCACAATCTGGGGGTCCTCCTCGATTCGCGGCTGATGCTGGAAGACCAGTTGTCGGCCGTGACCAGGGCCCGCAAAATAGTCCATGCGGACTAGGTGGTCAACGCCGGAAAAGACCTGGCCCTGCGGGACGCGTGTCAGTGAGTACGGGAGCAATGGAGGGCGGACCTGATGACATTACGAGAGATGTACCCCGAGGGGAACTCCTCGTGGGCCTCCGAGGTTGACCAGGTCTTAGCGGCCGCACGGGCGGTGTTGGGAGGGACTCGTCGCTCCCATGTAACACCGCTGCTGCGCGAGCTGCACTGGTTGCCGGTGGCCTTCCGGGTGCACTTCAAGGTGTTGGTTATCATCTTCAAAGCGCTCCATGGCATCGGACCTGGATATCTCCGAGACCGCCTTCTGCCGCAGGTTACCTCCCATCGGCCGGTACGCTCCCACAGAGTGGGTCTCCTTAGGGTGCCGTCAGCCAGACAGTGCCGGCTGGTGACCCCCAGGGGGAGGGCCTTCTCAGTGGGAGCCCCCACCCTCTGGAACGAACTACCCCCAGAGATCCGGGTGATCCCGGATCTCCCCTCCTTCCGCCGCGCCCTAAAGACATGGCTTTTCCAACAAGCGGGTTTGGCCTAGGGCATTTTAGTGGGGTTTTTAAGGGTAATTTTAAGGGTAATTTTAACGATTGGCCTTTACGAATATTTTCTTTTAATTTGGTTTTAATATGGATATTTATTGTAATGTTGTTTTATAAGGCTGTTAGCCGCCCTGCGTCCGGTAAGGAGAAGGGCGGGATACAAATTAAATTATAAATAAAATAAAAATAAATAAATAAATAAATAAATAAATCAAATATAATTCAATGAAAACATATCAATATAATCAAAATCAACACAAAATGAAAAGCCTTGTCTCAAATTGGCATGTTCTACTACTCCTCTAGTAATTTGTTTACTATGTGAAAAAATAGTATAAATTGTTAAATAAAGAGCCATGGTGGTGCAGTGGTTAGAATGCAGTAGTATTGCAAACTAATTCTGCTGACTGCCAATTGCCAACAGTTTGGCAGTTCGAATCTCACCAGCTTAAGGTTGACTCAGCCTTCCATCCTTCCGAGGTTGGTAAAATAAGGATCCAGACTGTTGGGAGCAATATGCTAACTCTGTAAACTGCTTAGAGAGGGCTGTAAAGCACTGTGAAGTGGTATATAGGTTTAAGGGCTATTGCTATTACTATATATACAATGATGATAGAAAAATGCAATTTCTATTTTTCTGCTGTATGCAGACTTATTTTGAATTTTCCAGTAACATTATTCTGGCTTTTTCTCACTTTGGTTCATCATCCCCACCTTCCTTGAAAAAATTGAACAAGGACAGGCCAATGTGTCAACTATCTGTAGGCATCAGTTCAATTCCAGAGGTCAATCAATGTAATTATGTGTTCTCTTGCCAAGATGTTTTCCCTAATCAGTCTGACATTTAACATTAGTACTTTCAACCCAAAAGAAATGTCCCCAAAGATATTCAGTTGTGAAACAAAAGATTCTTCATTGTCATTATTCTTTCTGGCCTCTACTATTAAAATGTCTGACCACTGTTTATACAAATTATGTGCAATTTATATCCTTATTTATCATAAGGATTTATATCCTTATTTATCATAAGGATTTATATCATTTATCATAAGGAGTTGGGAGTGGGAGGCACCGTTATGCGGTGGTTCTCCTCCTTCCTCACCGACCGCACGCAGTCTGTATTGGCAGGGGGACAGAGGTCGACCCCAAGGCCCCTAACTTGTGGGGTGCCACAAGGGTCGGTCCTCTCCCCCCTATTGTTCAATATTTATGTGAAGCCGCTGGGTGAGATCATTTGTGGCTTTGGGGTGGATTTCCATCAGTACGCTGACGATACTCAGCTGTACATTTCCACCCCAGGCCACCCCAATGATGCCCTTGACGTGATGGCCCGGTGCCTGGAGGCCGTACGGGTCTGGATGGGGAGAAACAGACTCAGACTCAACTCTTCCAAGACTGAGTGGCTGTGGTTGCCGGCTCCCAGGCATAGTCAGCTGACTCCGTCGCTGACTATAGGGGGGGAAAATTTGGCTCTCTCAGAGAGGGTGCGCAATCTGGGTGTCCTCCTGGATCCACGGCTGACACTAGAAGATCAATTGGCGGCCGTGGCCAGGGGGGCATTTTACCGGGTACGCCTGGTTCGCCAGTTGCGGCCTTTTCTGGACCGGGATGCCTTGCGCACAGTTACCCACGCTCTTGTCACCTCCCGCCTGGACTACTGCAACGCTCTCTACATGGGGCTCCCCTTGAGGAGCACTCGGAGGCTCCAGTTAGTCCAGAATGCAGCCGCGTGAGCGGTGATGGGAGCTACTCGTCGCTCCCATGTAACGCCGCTGCTGCGCGAACTGCACTGGCTACCGGTGGCCTTTCGAGTGCACTTCAAGGTGCTGATTATCATCTTTAAAGCGCACCATGGCATCGGACCTGGTTATCTTCGAGACCGCCTTCTGCCACAGATTGACTCTCATCGGCCGGTACGCTCCCACAGAGAGGGTCTCCTCAGGGTGCCGTCAGCCAGACAGTGCCGGCTGGTGACCCCCAGGGGGAGGGCCTTCTCTGTTGGAGCCCCCTCCCTATGGAACGAACTACCCCCAGAGATCCGGGTCATTCCGGATCTCCCCTCCTTCCGCCGTGCCCTCAAGACATGGCTATTCCAGCTAGCGGGGCTGGCCTGAGGGGTATTTTAGATTGGATTTTAATTTGATTTTATATTGGGTGTTCACAAAATTTTAAATGAAACGGCAAAATTAATATTTCTTTTAATTGTATTTTAAAATGGTGTTTGTAGGGTCTTTATCTGTTGCTGTAAGCCGCCCTGGGTCTGCCAGGAGAAGGGCGGGGTATAAATCTAATAAAATCACAAAAATCACAAAAAAATCACATAAGCACTATTACATTCTATAAATAAATGATCTCTCAGTTGGCAAAGAGCCAACCAGATTTATATTTATGATACACCTTTTCTTACTGGTTCTTTTTGATCCTTCCACCAATTGATTGGAAGACCAAAGTTCAGCTTTGAACCAAGTGATAAAATAGCATGTCTTATGACAAATGGCTTATGAGAAGCAAATAAATATCCCATAAACTGTGTTCTTCTATTCCTTAAGAAAAGGGTTTTTCATGTTGATGTTCCTATGGAACTAGAAAGGAAATACTTTTTATACAATAAAAAATGTTAATTTGAAATGTTTGGGAGTAAAGGCAGTTGTAATAATATACCTAAAGTGAAACAGATACTTTTATATATCCTATTATTGCATATCCACTTTTTAATATGGATAGAAAGAAGAATTCATGTTTGAAATAGAATAAGACCCATGGGATAATAAACAGTATTTTCTATTCCCTCACATAAAGTAAGTGGACATTTTAATAAAATCTGTACATTTTTACACATTATAATTTATTTGATCTAAATTCATCTTGCTGTCTTTTTTTTCTTTCAAAAACATTTCTTTCATTCAATCCATTTTTTTGCTCTAAAATTCATTCAGGTTAGAAAATAATAAAATTCCTAAAAATTTTACAGTGCAGTATTTTTCTTTTTTCTTTTAAGGGAGTCCCATTTATCTTCTCTAGATCAAATTCTTTGTAGCTTTCATTTCCACTTAAACAAGGACTGACCTGAACATGCAATGCAATTGAGAGATAAAGTATTTTCTAGAACCACATAGAAAATGCCAAGAAGAAGGTGATAGTGGCTGTAATTGCCTTTTGGACAGAAAAGGAAGGGAACGTTGTGTGACAGATCACTGCTCAGTTAGCAATTTACCAGTTCAGATTGCAGATAGGATGGCAATGAGTTTGGTATTAATGAAAGTTTATCTTTGAAAGAACAAACAGATAAAAATATGCATGCATTTTTTTGTTCCTAGAAAAAGTCTCAATGCTTCACATTCTCACACTTTCTATACTTTATTATAATGGCTTTTTAGTTATGCATTGTAACCTGAAAGATAAATTAATGTTGTTATATCTTATTGCACAGTCAGCCAGATATTTAGACAGATTTGGCATTTTTGTCCACCTATTTCCAAGATCCTGGATAGGCAGTTGTTATGATCATCATCATCATCATCATCATCATCATCATCATCATCATCATCATCATCATCATCATATCAGAAAAATGACATTTCTGTTTACATTTCAAATATCACAATCCCTGCTACTATCTCAGGATATTTTATCTGGGTTGTATACCCAGTGATATTCTCAATAGTGCAAGTTTGCCAATAGTTTTCCCAAGAGCCTTTTTAAATTCTCCATTCCTCAGAGTATAAAGAAAGGGATTGATCATGGGAGTCAGGATTGTGTAGAAAACTGAGAATTCTTTGTTCAGATTCCTGAGTTTGCTGTCCTTTGGCAATAAGTACACAATTATGAGGGTCCCATAGAAAATTGTTACAACAACAAGATGAGAGGAACAAGTGGAAAATGCTTTTTTCCCCCCAGTGGTTGAAGGTATTCCTAAAATGGTTCTGATAATGAAGATATAGGAGGTCATAGTCAGAAACAAAGGTGGTAATGTGCATACAGAACCCAAGACTAACATTGCCATTTCAGTCTGCTCAGTGGGACTACATGAAAGCATCAACAATGGTGCATAATCACAAAAGAAATGATCAATTTTGTTGGTGCCACAGAAAGTTAATTGAGAAGTGAAGAAGGTGGTGACTGCAGCAGCCACAAGACCAACCATCCAAGAGACAAGGGATAATTGAATACAAGACCTGTTTTTCATTATAGTTATATAATACAGTGGTTTACATATAGCTATATACCTATCATAAGACATTATAGATAAGAGGTAACTTTCAGCTCCTGCTAGAAAAGCAAAGAAATAAAATTGGAGGAAACACCCACTAAAAGAAATTCTATGGTTGTCAGTTACAAAACTGGTCAAAATCCTAGGGAGGATTGTTGAAGTATAGCAGGTCTCCAAAACAGACAAGTTTCCCAGAAAGAAATACATGGGTTTGTGAAGACTACAATTAACTATTATTACTACAACTATAAGAATGTTTCCAGCCATTGTCACCATGTATATTATTAAAAATATAACAAAAAAGATGGTCTGCAACTGAGGAAGAGTTCTGAACCCTAGGAGGATAAATTCTGCAATCATTGTTTGATTATCCTTCTCCTCTTTAGCCATGGAGTGTTTCATCAAATGGTCGTATACTCTGTAAAACAATATTGCAGTGTTCAATAAAAGTTCTTATTTAAACTCTTGACTACACTAATGAGTTGTCTTGCTTTGCAGTGGTTTTTTTCCCCCTCATATACTGATGAAAGTTGATCACCACATTTATGGACAATCTTAGACATTTTATACTAAAATAATTAACACTTATGCTGAAGCATATATTTTAATAAGGTGAATTTAGTTATGAATACTTTTGTTTTGGTTTTCATTAGGATTATCCTGTGTAGCTTAATTTTATCTTACACTACTTTAAAATTCAGTTTTTTAAAAGTTGTCTGAATATATGCATATTTCATAATACATATTCTTGCATCCACATTTGGTATTGTCCAATTTTTAATACATGGGTTTTTTATATTTATGAGTATTTATTGTATATATTTATGTATATATATAATATCTGTGTATTGTGTATATTTTATATATGTATGTATTGTTTTTCTTAATATACAATTATACATATAAATTTAAAAAGCTTTAGTGGTTTTTTTTTTAAATGAGTCTATTCTCTGGGTCCACATGTTTCCAATTTCTATGTCTAATACTAGTTTAATGCAATATTTTACATAATTTAAACACTTCAATAAATTCTTCCTTATCAATAAACTTGCTAATAGAATCGAGAGGGGATAGTCCTAAATACCATTAGCACAATTCTTTTTGCATATTAGGGTTTATTATCATGAGTGCACTACCCAAATTTGTGAAAAATGTGTAAGGATGCATAGGTAATGTTTAAATGAGGAAGAATCTATTTCTTTGGGAGCCATTATTCAGAAAGCAGAGAGAGAGACAGAGACAGACAGACAGAGAGAGAGAGAGAGAGAGAGAGAGAGAGAGAGACAGACAGACAGACAGACAGACAGACAGACAGACAGACAGACAGACAGACAGACAGACAGACAGACCTTTGTATTTTCAAACTGGTGTCATCCATTGATGCTTTGACTTCATGTCTCAACTTATCAGAAGCACTGGATGTATTGTTATTCATTTCAATTTCCTATGCAATATACATGACCCTCAAAGAAATATAATGCAGTTTGTTCCAGGCACTGATGAAATTAGTAATGTTCAAGCTTATATCTGTTGCTTATTTAACTTTCTTCTCCGAAGATCTAATCTCTCTGGGCACATTTGCCACAGGGAATTATGTTAAGTATTCAGAGTACATTTTTTCAACAGAGAATACAGAAGAAATGTGAAATGAATAGTTTCTTCTTAAAGTAATCATGAAATTATCCCTAAAAATAAATACAAGTCTTGAGGAAAGAAGTCAGAAAGAGTGAAAGAGATTGTTACAATGGATTTTAAATGTAGTAGTATATTCACATAATAGCAATAACACTTAGACTTATATACCACTTCACACTGCTTTACAACTCTCTCTAACTGGTTTACATAGTCAGCATATTGCCCCCAACCATCTGGATCTTTATTTTACTGACCTCAGAAGGAGGGAAGGTTGAGTCATCCTTGAACTGGTGAGACTCGAACTGCTGAACTGCTGGCAGTCAGCAATCAGCAGAGTTAGCATGCAATATTGCATTCTAACCATGGCTCCTAGCCACTGGGTATGTATCATGTGAATACATATCAGAACAAAATACCATGCTGAATATCAAATTGAGACTCACATTAATTTTATAACCACCATTTTTCTTCTGATGTGAGTGTTTTAGTTAATTCTAATATCCAAAAGCCTGAGATTAATGTAACAATTCATATGTATATGGAAGGAAACATCTGCAGGAAACTGCATTAGCATATGAATTACATCTAACATGTTACGAACATAAAGTAGAACTACTTAACTCCCACTTTTGTTCAACCTTCTCTAATAAAGGGAATTTGTTCCACCAAGCAATTATAAAGAACAAATGATTGAAGCTTAGACACTGATAGATAGTCATGGGTTCATAGTTATTTTGTGCTTAAATTTCCAATGCTGGATTAAATGAATCCTGAGGAACTTGCTGAAAGTCTGATTGAACCTTTTTGCACTGCTTCTGAGAAATTGAAGAGAATAGGCCAAATTATTGGAAGAAAACAAATGTTGTTGCAAACTTCCCAAAAAGGGGGAATAGTATGGAGTTAGTTTTGGAATCTAAAATTAAAAATTTGCAGGATTCTTATTCTATTTTTTTAATCTCTTCTTTTCCTAATCTTTAGTCTTCCTGACTCCAGTTTGTAAGCTCAGCAAATGAGTCTAGTAATTGCTTGTTAAAGAGATGAACCCTTCTCTTAAACAGAAAGTCACTGTTAAGTCCGTAGATAAATGGCGAAGGAGGCAATTCATGTTACAGAACAGATCTTTATTCTCTCTCAGTCACAACTACCAACCAACAAGAGCAGAGGCACGCAGGCCTCCTTTTATACTCCCGGATCCCCGGGCAACAACAACCAATAGCAGGCACTCTTTTTCCCACCTTGTGCATGCGCGCAAGGCCGGCGCCGCTCAGTCTGGTCCCGGGCAGCTTTTGCAATGCCCGGGACTCTTGCAGCATCCCGAGCCTGCTTCTGCAGGCTCAGGACATAACACCCCTCCCCCCTAGATAAGACAATGCTGTGCCCAACATGTACGCCATTCTTGTAGAGTATATGTTTGCTAACTTTTGCATCAAATACACAGAGTGTGGAAAAGCATAGGTACTGCTATCGTTTTGAGAATAAATGCACCCCAAGCTTTTTCCTTTGAGACTAACCAACCTGGACCTCTTGTCCAGGTCCCTCTATCCTTGCTCACCTCACGTAATCTGCAAGGTATTTGGGCAGGCCTTTGACCCGTAGCGACTTTCTCGGACCTGGGGAGATTGAATGGTCCCCTACATTGCTTTCCACACTAGGTGAATTAAAATGCGGCTGCCCCCTTATCTCAGGCTGCCCTGTGACTACTGCCTGATCTCCCTGCTTGCCTCCCAGGCTCAGGAGGCCAGGACTTTGCTGTCCCGCGTACCTGGTCGACCTGCCTGTTAGTAAGCTGGCTGAGCCCTCTGAACTCAGCTTCTTGTCCCCTGAAGAGGTGTAATTCCCCTGGCTCCTTTCTGTAGTGATAGGGTCCAGAGATACCTCCCTGTTAGCCCTAATGCGTGTGGACTTCCTTCTGTGAGCCATTGCTAAAAGAGGCAAGCCCCCAAGCTGTTGTGCCTGCTCTCTTGTTTGCTGTGAGTTATGAGGATGCTCCCGGTCAGTCTCCCTGTCTGGAGTATTGTTGTTGAGTTGTGGATAGTGGGGATACCTCTGGTGTGACTCCCAGGCTGGAGTGAGTGTGGGGGTGTATGTTTGCCCCCTGCCCCATGAATCCCTATTTGGAGCACTTGCTGAACTTGGGGGTTGAGTACCCATGGTGTCCTCAACAGCCAGTGTCGGCTGTTGATACTGATCCCCAGAATGCACTCCCCACCCCTCCTCCCCCCCAGAGGAGGCCAAGGAGGGAGATGAGAAGAGTCCAGCCTAGCACGCAGCTGATCAATATGGCGGCGAAGTACGCAACCGTCGTCCAAAGACACTTCATAGGACAAAGGCCCCGGGACCTTGCAGACCACTGCAGGGACCCAGAGGTGTCCAGGCCCGTAGTTCCTGGTCCAGACTGGATCACCCACGTGAAGGATACGTGGTGCATGTGGATGTGACACCTGTGAAGCTATGCGCTCCGGATGCAGCCTGTCAAGTTTAGTCACAAGCCGGCAACCCCAACGGAGTTCAGCCAGGCTCTTACCCGTGGCAGTGCAAGGAGTAGTATGATGGGCTAGAAGAAAGTCAGCCAACCTGTGATGCCAGTTGCCATAAATCAGTTTCTTGAGAGCACCCTTGGCGATGCGGACCATCCGTTCAGCCAGATCGTTGGTGGAAGGGTGGAATGGAGCTGACATCGCGTGGCGAATCATGTTGGCTTGTAGGAAAACCTGAAACTCAGCAGAAGTAAATTGGGGACCATTATCCGAAACCAAGACATCTGGAAGACCATGGGCAGCAAAAATACTTCTCAACACCTGGATGGTCTTGGCAGTAGTAGTGGATGACACAGGAACAACTTAGAATGGCTATCCACAACAACCAGGAAGAATTGCCCCTGAAAGGGCCCAGCGTAATCTATATGTATTCTAGACCACGGGGTGTGTGTTTCCTTCCACCTATGAACAGGGGCCTGAAACATTTCCGGCCTGGACTGCTGACACTCTTGACACCCATGTACCTGGGCCTCAATGGCCTTATCGATGCCAGGCCACCACAAATGGCTGCGTGCAAGCGCTTTCATCCTGACAATCCCAGGGTGACCCTCATGTAAAGAAACTAAGATTCTAAACCTCAATGAGGCCAGAATCACAACTCTAGAACCCCAGAGGAGGCAGCCATTGAACATGGGCAACTCGTGTCTTTTGACCCAGAAGCGTTGGAACTCCTCCTCTGGGCACCTGTCAGGCCATCTTGACAGCACCCATGTTAGCATGCATTTAAGCATGTAATCAGTGGCAGTTTCAGCAGCCACATCCCTAGTGTTTAGGGGAGACTCAGGCAAATCCTGAATGGACAGGATATGAATGGCAGGAGCAGGAGCAGGCTCCACAGCTGGCAAGGGCAGTCTACTTAGGCCATCAGCATGACCCATTTCCTTTCCAGGTTTGTGAATTCGCGTATAGTCATAAGCTGACAAAAAAATGGACCATCGCAGCATTCAAGGGGAAAGGATGCGTGGGGTCTGTTTGGACATGGTAAACAACCCCAGCAAAGGCTTGTGGTCAGTAAAGACCATAAAATGGCAGCCATAAATAAAATCATGGAATTTTTTAATTCCAGCCACAATAGCCAAAGCTTCCTTGTCAATTTGAGCATAGTTGCGCTCAGCAGCAGACAATGTCCTGGAATAATATGCCACAGGGACCTGAGTCCCATCAGCTGTCAGATAGCTAAGCACAGCTCCCACATCATATGGAGAAGCATCACAAGCAAGGCACACTGGTAACTTCTCA